TGTTTTAATCATTATAATTACATTTTTATCGTTGCTTAAATAGATTTTTAACCTTTATTATAAAATTTAAATACACATCCTAAAAGAGCCTAACGTGACTCCGTCCATAGGCCAACGCCAAAACCCAAATAAAGCAATTTAAAGAAACCTAAGGAAAGCATGCAGTTTCTAATATGCAATTCAAAATAAAGGAGCACACATACACTAAAGCCCACAGAAGAGATGTTCATGCAAGTGCCACATACAATATTACAGATCACATTAGGCGTAGAGTACAGAAAAGTAAGGGTGGGCCGGGCTCCACCGACAAACAAAAACCAAGGAATGACCAAATCTTAAAAATATAAAGGCATTTTTTATCTCTTCAAGAAGCAGTCTTTTTCTTCAACTTCCTTGCTCGTCTTTGGATTGCGATTGCTTCAGTCCTTCGGGCTCATTGTAGTGAATGCTCCAATAAAGGTGCCAAATGAAAAAAGGAAACCCTTGAAGGGTTTTCTCTTTTCCCTTTGGACGGTCCTAGTTTATATCAGAATAAAACAGAATATGACTTGAGGATGTCATGCTTCCTCCGGTATAAGGATAGAGGCACACCGTTTTTTTATATTAATAACTAATACAAACGTAAGAATGAAACTTACTTTAATCAATCCTTACATCAAAAAGAACAGAAGATTTTCTTTAATCATCTTCGCTTCACAGAGGTTTTTGTTTTCTTAGAGTTACTAATTTATATCTTACACAGCTTCATTATCAATTCACTAATTACACTTCATTCTAAACTAAGTAGTGGAAAAAATAATCAGTCCTCTAAAGACACTTAAATTCTTCACATTTCAATGATATATTACATGAATAGCATAATCTGGTAGAAATATTTTAAATTATTCAAGACTACCAAATCTAATTTGATTGTAGCAAACCTAAATCGAATCTAATTAAAACTAATAATTAAGCCACCTTAACATCTAAAGTTTATAAAAAGGAACGTAGATTTAATTAGGGCAGAATTGAACATGTTATATATTTTAATATTTTGAGGTTCATAGGGCTTATTAGGTGAGCTTTAAAAGCATAAAGGAATTAAAAACCTTCAATATAAACCTTATTAAATAAGTTTAACTAAAATCTCTTTTTAATATAATTTTATTCTTGTAAAATCGAATTCAAATGAAATTAACTTAATTAATCTCCACCGCTTCCCCTTTAAGATAGCGCTTTGTGTAAGACAACGGGCACCACACTTGTAACTTAAACAGGTAAACATGAACATAAATGACGTACAAATTTAGTATAAGGAAAAAAACTAAATTTTGTTCCTTCCTAACCTATTTTCTTTTTTGATTATTAATATAGTAACCACTACGCTCACAACAAACAGTTAACAGAGTATTAAAATAAACTAGAAAGGAACAGCTTGAAAAACCGATTTATTACAGAAAGAGCACGAAAATTTCTACATTATCATACTGTGCAGGGAAAACAAAAAAAAAAAAAAAAAAAAAAGCTTAACACAGTAGCAAGAAAACAAACAGCACTAAACGGGTTCACATTCCCAGAGGCCAATACCGGAGGTTCTATCTAAAGTTAGCACCCCCAAGGAGGGGTGAAACATAAACCTCATACTGGCCTCGGTGGTGCAATGAACAAGAAGGTAGAGAAGTGGTTTAATACAAAAAAACACTAAAATTGAGGTGTCGCCTAAACACCCTAAACAATCGACTCTATAAATCAGTAAAGTTTACTAGCTAAAATAACAAAACCTAAAAAATACTAAGGATTTGAATTTTAAACTAAAATTCCCTTTAGCCCCTTTAAACAACAAGAATGGCTTCCCCGTTGTGAGTGTACCGCGGCGCTTGGCCGCTGCATTTGTTCGGGGTCCGATTTGGTAGCGGCTCGTCCAAGCAAAACAGTCTATGTTATTCGGGTTTTGCTGTAATTTCCCTATAATGGGGATAGTTTTAATTAAAAATTATTTTTTTTTTTTTTTGCTTCTTGGTTTGTTAAAAGGGGCGCTAAAGGGAATTTTAGTTAAAATTCAATCTTAGTATTTTAGGATTGATTTTAGGATGTTTTATTTTAGTGTTTTGATTAACACCCACATTTGTTTCACACCGAAGGCGCGTGAGGTTTATTTCACCCTCCTTGGGGCTAACTTAATTAGCCTCGTAGGCCCCCGGGTTACCCAGTGATAATTAATTTTGTTGGATAATTTTAATTTGTATAAAAAAGAAAAAGAAAATAGTAGATTAAGTATTTTATTAAAGGAGATTTGTTGGATTTGATTTTAAAGATTAATTCTAGGATTTGATATTATATAGTAATTTTTTATCCTAATGAATTTAAATATTAAATTTAATCTCCTATTAAAACTTAACTTCTTTTAAACCTTAGATTGTTTAAGGGTAATGTATTAGTTTTAATTGAAGAAAAAAATTCCGGATTTTTTAGGTTTACAATTTTAGATTGTGTAGTTTAATAATTATGAATGTTTAATTATAACTTGATTAAGAATTAAGTGTTTTAATATATTTTTTAATAAATAGTTAAGATGATTTTGTTGATTATTAGTTGAATTAAGAAACAAAAACTAAATCTAAGAAACGTGTCACTAGGTTTTGTTTTTAAAACGTTTCTATCTTAGTATAGGGAGCATGCATTCCTAAATCTATGTTTTCTAAGACCGATCCTTAGTTTTTATGCGCTTAATGTGGCCACTTAAAAGTTGTAGGATCGAAAGCAGTGTTATTTTCCTAACCCTTAAGACTTTATACTATCGTCAAAAGGTTTAGGGATCTAATAAAAGAAAAGGCCAATCCTAATTATAAATGAAGTTTCTACAAGCCCTACAAGGTGGGAGGCGTGCAACCATCTAGGCCCCCTGAAAGGGCGTGCACCATCTAGATTTTTTTTTACTGCATAGCTCCAAACATGTTTGGGAAACTTTTTAAAACAATGCTCACAGATGCAATACCTAAAGATTAAACAGGACAATACATAAACTACACAATCAACAAATCATGTAGTATAACTATGTAAAAGAGTTGATATATAGATGTTCACTAATCATCGGCAAGGGAAGTATAGAGAAAACACATTAACCATTCAACATATGAAGACTCATTGACATAAAATATGGGGGAGGCTAACACATACATAAATCTAAATCTATTATTTTTTTTATAGACTCAAGCAACAAATGGGAGGAGTTGTTTAACCATGACAACCTATGTCCCAAAAAAAAATCAACGCTACGAAAATAATCATGTATAGAGCAAGAATTGAAACATATAATTTAATATCATTATTCTTGTTTGTGATGCCACACCTATATTACTACTTTAATTATTATATTATTATTATTATTTATTTCTTTAAATGAAATAACCACACTCATAATAACATTGATGGTGGAATTGTTTTCGCATCTTTGAAACATGCATCCCATGATTATTATACAAAAAATAATAATAATATAATAAATTTATATTATTTCTATGCCATATATATCCCTTAATGCGACAAATCTATATATATATATATATAATAATATATATATATATAATATATATACTATTATAATATATATATATATATATATAATATAAAGACTCAATAATGTTTGTAAGCCGCAATGGCCTGACAACCAAATTAAATTGAGTTATGTTAACGTCTATATAAAATTTATTAAAATTAATTAAAATCATTAATTATAATTAATTTATAATTAATTATAATTAATTAATATTAATTAACTTTTAATAAATAATAATTAATTAAAAACTAATTAATGATAATTAATTAAAATTAATTCTAATTAAAATTGATTATAATTAATTAAATTAATTATAATAATTTAATTAAAATTAAACATAATTAATTATAATAATTATAATTAATTAAAAATAAATAATTGTAATTAATTAAAATAATTACAATTAAAAAAAATAATTAAAACAAATTATATCCCTCCCTCCCCACTCTCTCTGTAATTTTGCAGATCTACGGGATTTGGCCGGATTCAGGCTAAATCCAGCCAACGGTTTCAGTGCGTGCGTTAAATCCCGGCGATGGGTAAATCCTGGATTTAAGGACTCACGACTTAAATCCCGTATTTACTGAATCCCTCTGTTCGGTGGATTTATGGGATTTGGCCGAAGAAGCTAGCAAGGGGAGAAAGTTACCTTCACTGCCAGCGGGTTCCCGTTCTGGTTCCGATCAGAATGTCGTAACTTCCGATCTGGCAGGCAGGGACGGCGTCGGAGGTGGATCGCCGGAGGGGTGGGGTCGGTCCGCACGGAGGAGGCGAGGAAGTGCGCTGGAAGGGAGAAAGTTAACTTCATAGCGAGCTCCCGTTTGCTGCTTCAGCTCAAAGTATCGTAACGTCCAATCCGTAGGAAGGGAAAGTCGTAGATCGAGCAAAGTCGAACGTCCAGGGAGAAGCCGAAGAAGCTCGCGGAAGATGGAAAGTGAGAGCGTGGAGAGAGAGCGCGAATGAGGCCTCTCGCTCTCATTTTAACGACGCAAAGTCGTGTGTCGTGAAAGCATCATGCGACGATGTGCGAAGAGGTCGGGACGTGCGCGACGTGCGATGACGTGTGGGGCAGAGCAGGTGAGATTTTCTTTTGATTTTTTTTTTGTCTCACCGAATACAGGTCAACAATATGGTATGGATTCCTTTTTTTCTAGATTAGAAATCTTCCATTGAGGGTGGAGCTGTACAAATAAAAGATTGTGTCGAGAATAAGAGTAGTTATATACTATTATATTTATAAAATGTGGATTTCTGGTTTGTAAACAGAATTTTCTGTACTTTTTTTTCTTAAATGCTGCACTTGTTTTGTTAAATTTTTACCCAAAAAGGCCAAGCTGATTTGGCCTGGAGAACCCAGTAAAACCCTGATTGGTTTTCTGTGATTTGTATTTGTTAAAAAACTTACTCAGTTTTGAAGGAAAAAATAAAAAAGACTTAACATTTCTATCTTTTGAATGGGGAGCAGCTTCGAGAGATATGTAGATCTTCAGGGGCAAAGGTATCATTTGAGACAACCAATTCACGGGATTCCTTTTTTCGGGCAGCAATTAGCTTTGTACTCAACGTATGTAGCAGGTACAATCTCCTCGTTATCAGTATCTCTAATATTTTAATAATTAGTATTAAAGTCTTTCTTTGGTACTGCAATTAATGTACCCACTTTTCATCTTATTGACCCGTGGGTTCTACTATATTGTTGCAAAAATGTTTATAATAGAGTAAGACAACCAGGAAGTCCTGTCCAGATTGATGGTGAGGATGTGAAGCAATTTATTTGTGGAATCGCTCAAAATATTGGGCTTGAAAATCTTCGAGCTGCAAGACTTGTTTGTGCTGCTGTGGCCGCCCGCAGCCGGTCATGCTTTTTACAATCTTGGGTGATTATTTTCCTTAATTTCCACACAAAAAACTAAAATTGTTTCATGGACTCTTCATTTGCAAGTTGGATGATTTGGGCCATGAATCCATTTTTGTTGCAGGCATTTGAAGTTCAGGGAAAAAGGATGGAAGCTTTGGAAGAGTTATTGAATCTCTGTCAAATCTACCGGATCTTTCCTCCTGAGGAAAATTCTGTATGTGTATTTACATGCATTTACTTACTTTCCTTGGATCTATTTTTGAACTAGTTTCACTTATTCAATAGAATTTCTTCTAATAATTTATAGCTTATTGCGGCATGCGATAACTTAGTCCAATTCTGATGAAAAATAAGGGTAGTCTATTATTTAAAATTAGATTTTATTTGCTTGATAGAGTTTGCAAACTTAGAATAAGAAGGCAAGAAAATTAGTGGACATGGTGATTTGTAGTAGAGATAACATTGCTTATTTGCAAGAAATTAGGTGGAAAGTGAAAACATTCTGGTTATAAGCTATTATTTGTTGAAAATCTTAAAAATGAAAATGAGGTCGGGATAACAATAAATAAAGAGTTAAAAGGCCAATTTTATAAGTTGAATAAAGTTGGTGATAGGGTGATTGCTATTATGTTAATTATTGGTGAGGACATTATAAATGTGGTTGGATTTGAAGACAGTTTGATAAGTTAATTTTATGACGAGGTTGGTGAACAATTATCTTGAATATTTTTAGAAGAGTTGATAACTAAATCAAATATTTAGTTGGATGTTTATGATAGAATTTATGGTGGCTATGAAATAAGAGATAGAAAGAGAAATGATATTTGATTTTATTGTAATAGATTATCACATAATAATAAATACATTCTAAGAGCCGATAATAACACTTAATTACTTCAAAAAGTATGACCTCTATGTCACAAATAGGATTTTCTTACTTTGAAGGAAAAAAATTTCATTTTTCAAAATATTTAAGATTATTATAGGTGAAAGTTTGATTACACAATATATGTTAGTAATTACGGATGTACATAATGTAATTGATGTCAGCTATTTCATTATTGAGGGCTCAGTGTACCAGCTTAATTGAAACATTCAAAGGCACATATGTAAGACCCAAAATTTTCAGATATGAAAATTTTAAATTAAGTTAATATATCTTAAAATTTATTTTAGAGTTTAATGTTAATTTACTGTTAAATTAGTATTAACAGTTAAATTAAAATAAATTAGTAAATTACTGTTATTATTATTAATATTAAACTAAGCATTCATTAATCAAAATCAGGCAATGGATCCATTGCTTCGTTTCATGTAAAAGCAACTGTTCAATGGTTCATTTCACGTTAATAAGAGTTTATCTCTTCCCATTTGGTTTTATCATACCAGCCTTATGTTTACATGAGAAGTAATAAGCGGAGTGGAGGTATGAGTGGAATATGCGTGTGATAAGCATAAAAGAGTGAAGATTTAGCTTTTGAAGTAAGGATTGGCTTAATAGTGAAGCAAGGATTGGGTAAGAGCAGGTATTGCTGGATCGGCTTCAATGTGAGTATAGAAGTCGGAAGAGGAGCAGATAGCGTAGTGGAAATTCTATGATAACCTGTGGGCATTGAGGAAAATTGGTTCTTGGTGGGTAAAAAACAGAGCAATTTCTGTTATGTGGAGGAAGAAATCAAAGTAAGTCATTTGGTTATAATACAATGCTTAGAGATGGTGTTAAAACTTGCATGCTTTATGATGCATAATAAGCCTTTGATACATCTATCAAAGTCTTGACATTTATGATGTCTTGATCTTTTCTTTATAATAGTTGAAATAACTCATTTATGACTCCCAATATAGTCTTCATATATTCAAATTAAAAACAAATTTAAAGCATTTTACAATTTCATGTCAGGCATATGTTTTATCTTTTTGCTCATTGCTTGATCCGTCTTATATTATTATCTTAAGAACCTCAATAATAGATTCAAACAAAAGAGCCAAATTAACAAGTGAACCATAATGCGAATCCCAATTTATATCCACAGCCCGTTGAAGAGACATTTCTTGATTCATACCTCAACATGTTATAACTTCATCATTTTGTAGTTGTTCTACGGTCTTAATATATTGTTTCTCTTGTAATATATCTCTTCTTTTATATGAACTCCCAACAATATTAACCAAATTATAAATTGTATTAAAAAGTGAGGCAACTTGGATATGATTTTTAGCTATAGTGATTAGCGCTAATTGTAAATTATGTGCAAAATTATGAATGTAATGAGCTGAATTATTGTCTTTTATAATCAATGTTTTATGCCCATTAAACTCACCACACTTGTTGTTGGTTCCATCATATTATTGATCATATAATTAGTGTCACTTGTTTGTTTTCTTATTTTGGCTTATAAAGATAACAAAATAAATTATAAGGTGCCTCTTTTCTGATACTTTATTTCAACCAGTTTGTGTAATCATCAAATCACGCCGAATTAAATCTATGTAATTTATTTTCAATTTACATACTCGGGAAATCATGATCATGAGGTTGAGAATGCTCTTTTTATAAAGATCTTTGCAAATCTTTATCATTTGTGTGATATTCAAAAAAAAAAATCTTAATCCAGGGTCTACAGGGATATCATCTAAATTGATTTTTGTGCAAACTTATTTACATTGTGTATTATAGTTATCATCTACTCCAATTATTCTTTTATAATTTCTCTTCATACCTAATTTAAATAAAAAAATGTTTTGGAAAATATTCTATAATGAGCAATAAATAAATAAAAAGAAGTGCTGAATTTTATTAATATAAAAGTTTATTAAAAAAATGTCAATTAGAACAATAATATTTTAACTGAAATTGAATATTGCAATCCTCCCCTTGGCAATATATAAGACTGGAATTTATTAGCTTCAATTATATAAATTTCTTCTTAAAGATTTAAATTTTTCACAAAAAAAATAAAATTGCTGGTTTCAATTTTCCTGACAGAAAACAAAAATATTTATTAGTTTCTCACTGGCAGAGAGAGAGAGAGATAAGTAAGAAAAAAAGATGCTGTATTTTTATTCATCTATTAATAAAGTTGATGTAGGATTTATTATATAATGGCATTTGTACTAAGACGAGAGACTGTTGAGGCAAGACCCAAATTGCAATTTGAGAAGACCAGCCAGATAAAAGAGATTAACTTCATGCTTATAGTATATCGATCTTTTCAAAGCAAGGATATAATGCCAGCGGCAAGGAAGATCTCAGGTTTGATGAATTGAGGAGGTACAGAGTTTCTTTGTTTAGGATTTCATAATATGCTTCAGGAATATTTAACATAGTTTGATTTCCATAATATGATTTTAACTGCCTTTCAGTATATATTTTTTCTTTTTCATTGATGATGCAAATTTCGCATCTGGGCTAGCTCTGTGTTTTCTTCTGCTTCTAGGTTTACATAAAAAAACTCTTAGGATGGCCGTCTAGTGATTTGCAAGCATTTTAATACTCTATTCAGAGAAACCTTCTTCAACTGAACGCAGTACTGTCTACCATTTAACATAATTCACTAAAATTTGCTTTCTTTAGGGATATTATTAGTAGAATCCAAGTTGGATGGTTGAAGTGGAGGAATGTATCGGGCTTGTTGTGTGATAGAAAGTCCCCCTCAAACTTAAGGGAAAATTCTTTACGATGGTGGTTAGACATGCAATGCTTTACGGGGCAGAATTTTGGCCATTAAAAGAGAATCATAATATTAAGTTAAGTGTTGCAGAGATAGGATGCTCAGGTGAATGAGTGACTTTACTCTTAGATACAAGATACGAAATGAGCATATACGTGAAAAGGTTGGAGTAGCTTCAGTGGAAGAAAATATTAGTGAGAGTCGCCTTAGATGGTTTAGTCACATAAAACGGCAGCCTTCCGATGACCTGGTTAGGAAAGTTGATGTATTAGATTTGACTTATGTTAAGAAGGATAGCGGTAGACCTAAAAAGATTTGGTTGGAAAATATTAGAAATGACCCGTCTTTATTAGATTTAAATGTGAATTTAACTTTTAATGGGGCACAATGGAGAAAAAGAATTCATGTATCCATTATTGTTGTTGTACTAAAATTTACTTTCTTTCCAAGCTTAGATTTTCTTTCTTCCAATTCCCCGAGCTAAATAACCACATTGTGCACGGCTGCAGCCAGAATTGGAGATGGTGGCTAGCGGTCTCACAAACAGTTTAAAAATAGATCAAAGGAAGCACCTTCTAACTCTCTTTAGTGGAATCTGCTCCTCGGATAGTCTGAGAATTGCAACAGAGGCTCTTGGAATTGGAAGCAATGAATCTGTCTGAAGAACTCTTCTACTTTGTGGGCGACTCCGTTGGTGACTATTGATCTAGCGAGCAATGGCACCTGTAGACAGAACTGTTCATCTGCCATTGTTCTTCATTCTATTGCTGCTTCAGGTTTTTACTCGTTAATTTGTATTGTTGAACTGTTTTTCAAGTTTAAGATTAGTTCTTATATATGAAAGTTTTCATGAGAAAAAATTCTTTCAGATTCATGAAAACTTGTGGAAATAATACAAAATGCAACTTTTTACTAGCTTTTTCAATATAAAAAGTAGGCATAATTCTATTGTTCATATGTACAGTGATGTCTTCTAAAACCATCTTATTATTAAACTTGGCTGTAGGTTGGTTCTGGATGCAAAAAAACCTGTCAGATTTTTGAATATGATATAATTAAAATAGTCATTTGACTATTTGTGTTTGATCAATTTAGTCTAAGGCTCTATTTGAGACGCCTTCTTACTTCTTTTTAGGGCATCTCCAACCAAAAAACCCATTTTTCACTCTCAAATGTAGTAAAACTTCAAAATGTCATAATTCAACTCCAGTCGAACTGCATTTCTTTCTTATTTAGCGCGCTTCCTGCGAAGGTAACAATCTCTCTCTTTTGCGCGCTTTTCTCCTCTTTGGGGCTCTTCTTCGACAAATTTGGCATCCCAATTTTTTGGCGTAGGTGAACAGTCCGGTGCTAATAGTGGCGTCACACTGTTCACCTACCAAATTTCGGCATGAGATTTGGAGTTCGAATGCAGGGAATGACGGACAACATATGGTGGTATGCAGTTCGATTTGAGATGATCTTAAAACAGCTTTGTAATACATAAAGTAAATTTTTTGTATCAAAAAGTTGCTTTAAAAAGCAGCAAGAAAACCGTTCCAAACGAAGCCTAAGAGTATCACATTGAGACTAAATTTGGATTAATTTTATATAGTTAAATTGGAGCAGTATGATAATGTGGGATTAAATTGGCCACATTACTATTTTGGGATTTTCATGTATATATGTATTATTTTTCTGTCATTAACTCATTTACTTATCAAGCGGTCATTAAATTTTTGTATCAAGTGTTTCTCATTATACTTCATGTTGGTATTAGATTAGTATTACTGTGTTGAATAGTCATTCTCAAGTTTTGTTTGGGACTGTTTTCTTTCTGCTTCTTACAGCATCTTTATAGTACAAAATTAAAAAAATTTGTACTATAAAGCTGCTTTAAGAAGCAGAAAAAAAATCTTCCCAAACGAAGCATCAATTGTTCTTTCTTCATTTTTATGAGTGCATTGTCCATTACATAAGCTTCATAGTTTTTATATACTTGCTACTTCTATAGAATTAGAGGAGATTTCATTTTATTCTCTATATGTTGGCATTACTAAAAAATGAGCACAAGAAAACATCTAATGTTTGTTGTTTTGTTTTCATTCACTTATTTATTTATTATTTATCACATTAAATAATTATTTTACTACTATAGATGATGACAATTCCACATGTGGGCCATTGTTAATGCATCTTAGAATGTTTGAATATGTAGCACACTAGTTGGAAAAAGATCTGGGATTTTGGTGGGTTAGATTCATGCTTCATTTGGGATAATTTTTTTACTGTTTTCAAAAGCAGCTTTTTAGTACAACAAAATTTTTATTTAAGAATTTTTTGCACTAAAAACTTGCTTTGAAAAGTAATAAGAAAGCTGTCCCAAACAAAACCTCAAGCGCTCATCCTTCCCTTAAAAGAAAAGACAAAAAAAAAGAAAAAAACAGAGACATTTGAGGGAGTTGAATCATGTAAATTGTAAATTTGAATGCATAAACATTTCTATGAACTGGTTGCAAGGAAATTGCGATCATCTCAGCTTTACATTTTTAGACATGCATTGAAGATAACATGTTTTTAATGTGAAAATTTTAGGAAGATCACACCATTTAGAGCATATCCAACCGAACGCCAAACAAGTGTATGGCGTCGTTCGGTCGCTCCAGCCGAATGTCAAATCTTCCGTCATTTACTTGCGGGTGAACAGGGCGACGCCAATATTGGCATTACACTGTTCACCTACGCTATTTTGCTCTCTCAACCGAAAAAATGCGCGAAAGGAAGAAGGATCGTTACCTTCGCATAATCACATAAAATGGCATTTGATTGGAGCAGCACCACGGCATTTTGGAATTTTGCTGTATTTTGCCGTGAAAAATGGAGTTCTTCGTTTGAGATGCCCTTAGCCTAAAATTTGAACTTTCTTTATAAATAAAAATTGAATAAAAATTTACTTGAATCTGGCTTGACTTTTCGATTGCCTTTGTGCCACGAAAAATAGTTAGGGGCTGTTTGGTTGCTTTAATTAGGAGGGTAAAGTAAAGTAATTACATGTATTTATTAAATTTGGTTGTTTGGTTAATTTTGAGAAGCAATAGCGGGGTATTAAATGAGGCAGTTCGTGCGACTTTGAAACCCGCTCAATTTGAGCGGGTTAGAAATTCTTTGGCCGTTCTTCTCCGAAGCTGACCTATATTCCCCCTTCTTCTCCATTCTGCCTTGCTTTCTTCTCCATTCCTACGATCGCGCTGACGTTCCTGCATCGTCGCTGCTTGGTCTGCTTCACCTGGTTCTGCAAAACCGTTGTGTTTCGCCGCGCGATGTGTTGGCACAATTGTCGTAGCCGGCAATTTTGTTCGAGACAGCGGCGGAGGATCCAGCTGCAATTTCAAGGTTTGGCACCGGGTAATGCCAGGATCTCGGAGAGCCCCCCTGTTGATGGTGGTGGTGTTCGTCGAAGTTGGACGGTCGAGGCTTCGGTCCGCTAGATGATTGCACAAAGCAGAGATCTCCCTGGCCAAAATTTGAGTGCCGGAGGGGAGGTTGTCGTGCTCCACCGCACATGGCGAAGAAATCAGAGTGGTTGAAGTTGGATCCCCTTGGGGTTGGATTCCTCGACGAGCTGAGCGAATATATCTCAGCACCTATGAGATTCGACGGCCGGGGCATCATCAATGAGATGGATCGCCTAGACGATGTGGACTTTCTTACAGTTACATGGATCTTGCCATCACCTCCCACCTCTGCTTCTTTCTCTGAGAAGGCGAGTTTGAAGATAATCTCACGAAATATAATGCGGAGGCTATTGCGAATGAAGTTTAACTCAACCGAACGGCTGGGCAACATGTGCTAATATGCGGAGGCTTCACACACTCCACATAACCTTGACAAAGCTCGAGTAATCTTTGATGCAATGATTATAAGGAATGATTCATGTTGGAAATCAATGATATCTGGTCTCGCTTCTAACGGACGGTGTAATGAAGCTCTTGAGCTCTTTTATCAGTTGGAAGCATCCGAAGTGAAGCCTAATTCAATCACGTTTCTTGTGGTTCTTTCTGCTTGCACACATGCAGGATCTGTAGAGTAAGGTCTACAGATTTTTGGGAGCATGCACAAATATGGTTTGAAGGCCGGAGTGGAGCATTATGGCTGTTTGGTTGATATCTTTAGTAGAGCAGGTAGGCTAGCTGATGCTTATAATGTAATCAAGATTATGCCAATGAAGCCTAATGAGGTGGTCTGGGGGACTTTGCTTGGTGCCTGTGGAGTTTATTTAGATATGGAGATGGCAGATCAGGTGGTCCTTGAAGAAAACAACACAAATATCAGCATTTCTTCAGTTAATGATGCAAAGTATGTCTTGCTGTCAAATATTTATGTTGCATCAGAAAAATGGGAGAGAGCTGAGAATATAAGAAGGAAGATGGTGGAAAATAAGTTATCTAAGACAGCAAGCTGCAGTAGAATTGGATTAGGGGAGACGAAACAACAATCTACTATTGCTTTTAACTTGGAATCTCAAGTTTGCTGATCAGAAGATGTAGGTCTGATGCGGCCTTGAATAAATAAAAAATTAAGTGGAAGAAAGTAGGTCGTGAAATTGGATTGTGAAGATCACAAGCCGAAGGGATTAATGGAATTGTGATTCTTAACACCTAATTTTTCCTGTTAAGAAGCGAGTTTCATGGTTCCTGCTATCTTTTTGAAGGAAACCAACATGAAAATTCTGAGTTGTCTTCTGGCTTGAGTTTCAATAGCACGCATGAAGCTTTTTTGGTTTGGATTGTAAATGAAATTGGGCGTATTCAAAACATTTATGAAGGTATTCTGGGGTTCTTTTCTAATGAGGGCTCTTTTTGATCTGTGAACTATTTCTGGGGACTATAGAAGAATTCATGGTTGGTTAATTGTTCAGAGGGTGATTTATATCAGAGGATGCTTTATACTTGAAGAAAATACTAGATAAGCTACTAAAATTTTGTTCCTCCATCCTTTTCTTAGATATATCAAATTGTTTTTTTTTATTGTTCAATGTGAATTGTCAGATTGGTATACCATGACGGTTGTCTTGGTGCAATGCAGTTTGCACCTTATGAAACATCAAGTGATCATTTGAAGCTTTCATTTTTTCTAAGATCTATTTGAAATTCATCTTGACATATGGGAATAAGATTTCTTTTTTTATTTGTGTGAAGTTTGTCCAATTATTTTGCATTTTCATCTCATAGTGGAATGATATTGACATTTGGAGCAATTGAACCAAGAAAGCTATTAATATTGTGCTTTTGTTCTTTTTTAATGTAGCAAGATGTCTAACGCATGATTATTTATATTTTTTCTTGTTTAATTAGTGAATCTTAGGAATTCATCAAAATAGCTTTAAAAAATTGTGTTGTGAATCCAGGTTTCTTTTTTTAATCCAACTTTCTTTTAGTGGATCGTATAATGTTTGTTTTTGGCATTGTAGCCATTGTATAATGTCTGGCACAGTTTTAATGTTTATAATGGTTATGCATAAACCTAATTCTAATTTTATTTAGTTTTTTTTGGATGATTAGACTAGGAACGCTCTATCTGGGACTTACTCAGCCCCACAAAGATCTGCTAGTTCTGCTGCTCTTTTATTGGGGACCCCACCATTACACGGGACAGGGCAGGGAATTTTATACTTACGCTAATTATAATGACAAAAAAAATATTACAAATGCACTGCTTTTACTTTACTCTGGATATATCTAACCAAACAAGGGAAACAGTTCTCCTGCGTTTACTTTGCAGATAACCAAACAGCCTCAAAGTATTTGGAATACACTACATTTACTTTACACTGCATTTACTTTACACTACATTTACTTTGCAGGCAACCAAACAGCCCCTTAGTAAAAAATTTATGTATATGGAAGAGATTTTTCATCATCATTGTTTCATTTAAAAATTATTTTTGAAAAAATATTTTTAAAATTGTGGCTTCGAAATGAGCTTTTAAAATTAGAAATAGAAAAGTGTAAGATACTCAAATAAAGACTTGGTGGCTCTCCTTCCAATCTAGTGAAAATGGTAAATATTAGTGAAGTAATATTTTTTTGCAAAAGCAAATATGATTAGGCTGTGTAGACATAATAGTAGTTCAAATGAAAATATTAGAATTATGTTATACTAATAAAGACATAGCTCTCGCTTGTCTTCTATAAATATGCCCTTGATGCCATTAACATAGTTTCAATATGCAAAAAGAGAGGAAAAAAAATATGTTATCCATTGTGGAGTTGTTATACTCATGCATGCCTGATGATCATGAGAAAAACTTTTTTTTGATGGATTTTACGAAAATATGCATCTCTAATAGTGTTGTGATAGCTTAAATTTTTAACTATCGAGATATTATCCACTTTAGTCTAAGGGTATCATGATTTTGTCAAGTTGGTGTAACTTCTCAGGAGGTCATCTATCTCAGGAATTTTCTCCGAGATGAAATAATGTCAAAATTTTCTCAAATACTCGGCCAAAATTAAGAAGTAATATTGCAATTTTTTTTCATGAATCTCGAAGCTTCACACATTAATTAATTAATTAATTAATTTGAACTAGTGCTACAAATCCACGTTAGCTAAGGTTAAGAGCATTTAGATTCCTATATGAGTATGAATTTTCCTTTAGGTTTTATTTGAGACAACTTTCTTATTGCTTTCTAAAATATCTTTTTAGTACAAAGATTTCTAATAAAAAGCAGAAAGAACGCTGTCCCAAACGAAGTCTTAAATTTATTTTTTTTCTCAATAAAAATTTCTAAAATTTAAAATTCAAACATTTCAAATACAATATAGTTAAAAAAACTCCCAACCAAATAGCGCCTAAAACTAAGGAGGCAAATAGTGAAGTAAGAAGAGGTAAAGGATATCCTATTATCTATGTTAAGGGAGTTGCAATAACAAGACATTTTAGGTGGGACAATCGTAGTTGCAATAATAAGTCATCTAAGGTAGTACAAGAGGAAAAATGAGGAGGATGAAGATGATGTTGATGCTATAACTGATGAGGAAAACTAAGCTCTATTTGTATATTATATATTCTCGATAACGACGACTATTGATCGATGGAACATGCATAGCGATGGTGAGGTTAGTGAAGCTGAAGTGTGATAAGCCAGAGAGAAATAAAGGGGTTTTTAATAGGAAGAACAATGTAGTGCAACTAATGTGGGATGAAAGACCATAATTAAGTTATTTGTAAAGCTAAATGTATGCCACCTTCTAGTGTTGGCATAAAAAATGTCAACACTTTGAGGATAGTTCAAGTCACCCATTCAAAGTGAGTTTGATATGATTTTCTTCAAAGTTTCACTTAGGGAGTACCTAAACAAATCAGCCCTCTTGCTTGATTTATAGCCCGCTTCTTTAAATTCTCTCAAGCATTCCTCCTTAAATATTTTAATATCAAAATTTTTAATCATTCTATAGGATCTTTTCTTAACTCAATCCAGTTAGGAGTTGCAATATAAGCCTTGTAACGCCTTCAGATCAAATTTGAAAGAATTATTAGTTTTAAACTCTAATTAATTTATCAGAGTTTCTATTAATCCATTTATATAAATTAGTCCAACAAAAATAACTATAAATAATACACAATAAAATATAAACTTATATTCATTCCTCAAAATTCATGTAAAAAAGTTAGGAGATCAATTAATGCATCATTTTACCTTTCTTTCCAATTCCTAACTTCAAAAGAATAAAACTAAAAATATAAAAAATAAAAGAAAATCTAAAATTCTGATATTCCTTACTCCACTAGATCATGCCCCTCTTCATGACAGAAAGAAAGCTGTCCCAAACGAAGTCTTAAATTTATTTTTTTTCTCAATAAAAATTTCTAAAATTTAAAATTCAAACATTTCAAATACAATATAGTTAAAAAAACTCCCAACCAAATAGCGCCTAAAACTAAGGAGGCAAATAGTGAAGTAAGAAGAGGTAAAGGATATCCTATTATCTATGTTAAGGGAATTGCAATAACAAGTCATTTTAGGTGGTATAATCATAGTTGCAATAATAAGTCATCTAAGGTGGTACAAAGGAAAAATGAGGAGGAAGAAGATGATGTTGATACTATAAATGATGAGGAAAACTAAGCTCTATTTGTATATTTGTAAATTATATATTCCCGGTAACGACGACTGTTGATCGATGGAACATGCATAGGGATGGTGGGGTTTTGGGGCAAATATGATGCTAACTTTACTAGTGAAGCTGAATTGTGATAAGCTAGAGAGAAATAAAAGGCTTTTTAATAGGAAGAATCAATGTAGTGCAACTAATGTGGGATGAAAGACCATAAATAGGTTATTTGCAAAGCTAAATGTCTGCCACCTTCTATTGTTGGCATAAAAAATGTTAACACTTTGAGGATAGTTCAAGTCACCCATTCAAAGTGAGCTTGATATGATTTTCTTCAAAGTTTCACTTATGGAGTACCTAAACAAATCAGCCATCTTGCTTGATTTATAGCCTGTTTCTTTAAATTCTCTTAAGCATTCCTCCTTAAATACTTCAATATCAAAATTTTAAATCATTCTATATGATCTTTTCTTAAGTCAATTCAGTTAGGAGTTGCAATGTAAGCCTTGTAACACCTTAAGATCAAATTTGAAAGAATTATTAGTTTTAAACTCTAATTAATTTATCAGAGTTTCTATTAATCCATTTATATAAATTAGTCCAACAAAAATAACTATAAATAATACACATTAAAATATAAACTTATATTCATTCCTCAAAATTAATGTAAAAAAGTCAGGAGATCAATTAATGCATCATTTTACCTTTCTTTCCAATTCTTGACTTCAAAAGAATAAAACTAAAAATATAAAAAATAAAAGAAAATCTAAAATTCTGATCTTCCTCACTCCACTAGATCCTGCCCCTCTTCATGAAAAATATATAACATTATAGAGTGAGCTAATAGCTCAGTAGATTATCATAACCTACCACCATAATCAACGCAAGACAACATGAACAATATACATATAATCATTCAATAAACATCAGTATGATCATATAACTGTAAAATCATGTATCAGTCAATGTAAATAGAATCATATCATATGACCAATAACAATTAGGGCAAGTTGTATATCTTATGAGTAGTGATTAGTAACCCATACCCATATAAAAGATCAATAGGTTCTAACATTTATGCCTTTCAGTTACAAAATAGTTTATATGAATATATCAGTCCAGGGAATTTGTATATCTGTCATATTCATATGCATGTCATATAATATCTATATTATGCATGTATCTCATATCTTATATCCAATGCAATGCATTATGCACCAATACAATATATCATATATGTTATATGATTCATATATATATCATATACAATGTGTATTATGTATGTCATATGATTAACGTGAATTCTATATTATTGCATCGCTCTTATCAGTCATATCATATTCTTGTATCAATCATGTTCTATATGTATCATATGCATGTCTTATTATATCATGTCATTTATATCATATGCATATACAAGCAGTATAATCAATTAGCATTATATGAAACTTAGCTACTTGTGGTGTTTTTCCTATATTCAATAATGTAGGCCAACCCTACAGGAATCAATCTCGATTAAATTAATCTTATTTCAGGAATTAAACTCATATCACATATTACAAGTTAGTCAAATGGCTTTCATATAAGAAATCATCACTTCATAACTGTCGACCCATCATCATATATATGATAATATGTTTTTAGCCAACATGAATTAATCAATCATGTTCAGCCAACCCATCTTACTTTTAACACACATTTTTCATCATATAAGCATAATAGCAAATATTATATATACTCAATACAAGTATCAATATACTCATCATTATGCTTGTAGTATGTCAAAATGCTTATTAACCTAAACGAATAGTAAATTTATGCATGTATGTATTTCATGTCTAAAAGCAATGCATTGCTTCCTAATCATTTTATCATTAATATTATACTACCCAATTTAATTAAAATGGCATACAAAGTAAAAACACATGGTGAAATTTCAAAATTAATTAGCCAAAATACTCAAGACGATGATATTTGTCACATATCAAAAGATACACAGTGAAAAATCACTAGAGCAAGAGATATTACATTTTAATCAAGTTTAGAAGATATAAAATCCAAGAAATCAAAATAAGTAAAAACAGAAATAGGATTCAGGTTACCTACTACGATTAAAATATGTTTTCCAATTGGAGCGACAGACAAAAATATCCTAAAATGGTTTCTTCTCTCTCTCTCTCTCTCTCTCTCTCTCTCTCTCTCTCTCTCTCTCTCATCTTCCTTCCCTGACAAAGCATGCAAATGAGGCGGATGGTTGTTGGCGAGGTTAATGAAATTGATTTAGATATTTTTATTATTTTAAAAACCAACATTTTGACCTAGCATCGCTGCCATCAACTTTTAAGCATTGTTGCACTCGCTAAGTGAACCTCGATGCATAGTGGAGCCAACCTGGCACAATAGTGCTAACTCAAAACTCACTTTTTTAATCCAAAAACCTGATATCTCAATGCCAGGGTGCCACTACCCTAACATGACAAGGCACCTAGCACCGCATCGTTGCACTTCAGAATTTTTAGAATTTTCAAATCAGGTTATCTTATAAACAATTATTATAAACCTTGAGTAAAGTTTGGTAGGAAATTACGTTAGAATGACTATAAGATATGCTAGTAAACAATCTTAAGTTAAAATTTTTTCATATTCAAGATTTATTGGTCTCAATGTGCAAAATGAATGATCTGAGCATCCAATCTTCTTTTCTTATCAATTGCTTGTAGGTATAATTGATTATGTGAATCATTTCATTTGGTTAATAAACATTGGCTTGGCCCATGTTCAAAACCAATATTGTCCATTTCAAGAATATTTATTGATCTTTAGATTAGTTTCTTTTATGAGGTTTGAATCACCTAATCATGGGTAACTTGAATGTTGTTAACCATGGAAGTATATTAGATTCCCCTTCAACCCTAGCTTGAACCAACATTATCTAATATATATCAAAATCAAATTAAAAAAAAAAGAAAAAATAAAAATAATATGTATATAATTAGACCTTAAAATAGAAAGAGTTATTACTGTCTAACCTCCTAAAAAGGTCCTAACAGATTACTAACAATCTTAAGGAATCAAATCAACTCTTGGAGGCTCCAATTAAGCTCTCCAACCTAATAGAATCCAAGATGTCCTATTTTCCTTCATAGGATTAATTCTACTAGTTTCTAGTGAATTATTCGAATTAATGGCTCAAATGGCCTTAGAAATATTCTAGTAAGTCAACCTTAGGTTCTTAAGTTTGATGGTGTGAAAACCATTTTTTTTCTTCCAGGATCATCCGGACGAAGTGGGATCGTCAGGGATGATCAGTTCAAAATCTGTGGACAGAGAGGTTTGTCCCAGGACGAAGTAAAGTTCGTCCATACGAAATTTTTCCAGAGAGCAACTCATCCTGAGACGATAATAATTTAATCTGAACGAATTTTGTCCAGAGGGCAAATCGTCCCGGGACGAATATGAATCATCCCATATGATCCAGCTTTATATATATCCAAACAGTCATTTTGGAGAGAGAAGAATATCTGAGGAGAGAGAAAATGAAGGAAAAAGGAAGAAAAGTGGATTTTGGGCGACTTCGGTCCGTTTTCGTCCGTCGTCGTAGTTGGAAAAGTTGACCGACTCGAGATAAGACACATTCCGCCTTTCACAATTTTTAGAAATATGGATTTTGACGATTTTTCTGTTCCGAATTTTGTTTCCGTTAGCGAAAATCTTGTTTCATTTTGCACTGATAAATGTTTTACCGCTTAACTTTTGGTATGTTTCTGAGATGATGTTTTTGCACGTTTTGAGTATTTTCTGAATGATTTTCACCGAGCATTTTGAATTCTGCGGAGTTTTATCGAATAACGAATTATCTGGATGTTGAAAATATTTGCTTCAGTACAATGAAAGTCTTGAAATGATGTTTTTTGCTATCTGTGGTAACTTGGTAAATTTTTGAAATAGTAAATTCTATGGAATTTCTGTATACTGTCGTTATGCTGCTGACGATTTTTCTAACGAAATCTGATTTTTGAATTTGATGAATTGATGTGTTTGTATGCTATCAAGGGAGTTATAAGAGGCCAGAATCCTTCGAGATTCTGTCAGGGTCCAGAAATCTGAAATCTGAAAATAAGTTTTGATCTAATAATTCTGTATCTCTGATATGTTCTGGTACTGTAAGCACAAGGGAGATATAAGGGGCCAGAATCCGTTGAGATTCTATCAGTGTCAGGGAAGGGAGGCATAAGGGGACAGAATTCGTTGAGATTCTGTCAGTGTCAGGGAAGGGAGGCATAAGGGGTCAGAATCCGTTGAGATTCTGTCTGTGTTAGGGAAGGGAGGCATAAGGGGATAGATTCTGTTGAGATTCTGTCTATGTCAGGGAAGGGAGGCATAAGGGGCCAGAATCCGTTGAGATTCTGTCTGGGTCCGCTAATCTGATCTGATATGTGATATGTGATCTGATTTGTTTTGACAATGTGATTATGATTTGTACAATTTTGTCTGTTCTGTGATCATGATTTGTACGATTCTATCTGTTCTATGATCATGATTTGTATGATTCTGTCTATTCTGTGATTATGATTTGTACGATTCTATCTGTTCTGTGATTTGAAGATAATTCTGATTTGAAATCTGATTTGAATATTCTGTTATATGAAATGAATTCTTCGGTATCAGTGATTTGAATATTCTATTAATCAAGTATCTGAATTCTGTCTGATTATACGATTTTCTGTATGATTATTTGAATTCTGTACTGCTACTTTTCTGATGTATTTTGGATGTGAGTTTTTGGAGATTTTGATTGACTGGTGTATTCTTGCTAAGCTGTTAGCTCATTCTTGTTATCTGCGTGGTTTTCAGGTTCTTGGAAAGGGAAAGAGGCCTTGGACTAGCCGTTCAGTGTTTGATATGAGATTAGGTATTATGTAATTTTGATTTTTGTACAGTCATGGCTTTTCTGTTCTGCTCTTTCTGTCTGCTGCCATGCACTATATTGTACATAATTATTTTGATGAAAGAAAGAAGAAAATTTCAGATGAATTTCTGTATATTTGGATGTTTATAGTAGCTCTGTGTTTTCTGTGTGTATTTTTATTGGAAGAAAGTCTGAAAGCAAATTCCAAAGCTAGATCCTGGATTGTTCCGTCGCGATCCGGTGCGAAGGGATTCGTTCTGGTCGGGCTGGGTCGTGACAGATTGATCCTCTGATAGGCCAACTAACTAACCTAGCTACCTTGACTTTACTTAACCTCTTAAGGTTAATTTGACCAATTTGAATAATTCAATTAAAATTTAGCTTGCCAATCTTTGGAAATCCTTTCAATTAGTCAACCATTGATGAATTAAGCTCAATCAAACATTGACAGTGTCTACTTAAACTAGATAGCACGTCAACCCCAATTTGACCCATATAGGCTAAATGAGCCAAATTATTGATTGTACTCAATAATCCCAAATAGTTTACAAGACTTCCCCATAAGTGTCCAAAACCTAACTATCTCTTAGATTAATTAGCTTCAAATAACCCAAATTAGCCCAAATTGACTTTATATGGATCCTTTAAACCATTGTTTTTAAGTCAACCTAAATTGATAAATTTTATGGGATCAATCATTTGGATTAAATCAAATTGATTATGGTTGATCATTGGATATGCCCAATTAAACTAATTAGACCAATCACCCAAAGTGAACACCTCACTTAAAAGATTTTGTCTATTTTGCTCTATTGGATCAATTCAATCAAATTGAATTAAATTTATGATTCTTTAGGGTTTTTCTTAGGCTACCATACACAATTAGACCCTTAGGACCCTTTGATTCAGCTATAATCAACCAGTTTGATCATAAAAGGCCAAACTTAGCACATTTGGTAAACCTTTACCCAAATGAGCTTAGAAACTTCACATTTCCGAACCAATGGATCATAGACCTCTAAATGATATCCTAGGTTAGTAGATGTACTTCAATCCCAATTGGCTCTATGGGTTGGCCAATTGGTTGAACCAAAATCAAGGTGATCAAAATGGTTACCCCTAAGGCTCAACTTGACCAAACCACCACTAGCTTAAACATTGGCTTAGTCGAATATCTTGACCACATAATCTTCCATAAATGAAATACATCTTCCTAATGATAATAAATCCGTCAATTGACCCAATTGAGCTCAACTGGTTCAAATTGACCCATGTGAACCCAAATGAGTCAACTGAGCCAACGTGATGTTAAAATCAAATCAGTCAAATCAATTCAACATGAAACATCTTCAACATGGGTATATTTAGAATTTTTGAAGATAATTTAACATGATTAATAGTTTAAATATAATATTTTTTTATTTTCTGAATTATTTGATCTATTTAATATGATTCTATTAGTATTTATAATATATTACAATTTCTTTAAGAAAGATTTTAGCGCAATATAGTAAATATAACCATACAGAGAACATTACACGGAAGGATGCTTTCATGCTCCTCGCGTTGCTGTCAAATCGGCGTTCCTTCGCTGCTCTGACGGCCCCCACCTGTTCGACGAAATGCCTGAGAATCGTTGAACGGTTTCCGCCCTTCTGCAACTCCATCATCCGCGCCACCATTGAGAAAGGCTCTCCCACAAAAGCCTTGCTCGCCTTTGAATCCCTGCATTCCTCCGGCGCCCTTCGGCCGGACCACCGTACCATCTCTCTACTCCTCAAAGCCTCCTCCATCTCCCCCCACCTCTACAACGTATCAGAACTCCACGGTTTGATCATCAAACTAGGTCTTCAATGGCACAGCGCTCTGTCCTCTTCTCTCTTTCTGCTCTATCTGTCCCGAAACCTCTTGAAACAGGCCCTGCAATTGCTCGACGACATTTTCGTCCAAGACACCGACCCATTCTATGGCAATTTACTGATCACCAGCTTTTCGCGGAAGGAAGACGTTGAGAGCTCCTACATGGTGTTCAAGAAAATGCCCGTGAGAGATAAAATCTCCTGGAACTCCATGATCACTGCTGCGGTTCGGAGCTCGCGGCCTAAAGAGGCCTTGAGCCTCTACAAGCGAATGATTGTCGCCGGCGTTGAGCCTGACTGCTTCTCTTTCTCAACTGTTCTCTCCGCCTGTGCTCGCGCCGGCGCACTGTGCCACGGAGAAAGGATTCACCGGCTGATGACAGAGAAAGAAGCAGGTTTTGAATCCAACCCTTTTCTTTGTTCAGCTCTAATCGACATGTATTCCAAGTGCGGAAGAGTCGATTTGGCTCGAAGTATATTTGATTCTGTAAATAGAATCACCAACTCCATCTCCATCTGGAATTCCATGATCACCGGTCTAGCAATCCACGGCCTTGGCGCGGATGCCCTCCAGACGTTCGACAATATGCCCAAACATGCTATTTTCCCTGACAAAGTCACCTTCGTAGGAATACTAACCGCATGCAGCCACTCTGGCATGGTGGACGAAGCGCGCTTCTACTTCAATTCCATGCAGCGAGATTTCTTCATCAATCCACAGTTAGAACACTATGGAGCCATGGTGGACGCCCTAGCGCGCGCTGGGCAATTGAGCGACGCCTACGAGCTGATAAAAGAGATGCCGATTGAGCCCGATTCTGCCATTTGGCGAGCTTTACTCGGAGCTTGTCGAAGGCTTAGCCGTTGGGATGTTGCAGAGATGGCGATGGGGGAGATGAAGCGATGCCACAGTGGAGATTATGTTCTCCTCTCAAACATCTACTCGTCAGCTAAGCGTTGGGAGAAGGCTGAGGGAGTGTGGAGAGTGATGAAGGAGAGAGGAGTGCGGAAGGGTAAGGCATTGAGCTGGGTGGAGATGGATGGGAGAGTTCAGCAGTTCAAGGCTGGAGATCGATCGCATCGCAATTCTGATGAGATTTATAGAGTGTTAGGGGAGCTAACGAGGAGAGCTAAGGCGGAGGGATATGTGCCTGTTACTGAAGGGACTACCAAGGATGTTTCCGACGAGGAAAAGGAGGAGACTTTGAGCAGTCATAGTGAGAAACTTGCAGTGGCTTATTGCGTGATGAGGAATGGTGCAGAGGGGATCCATGAAATTCGGGTTTCGAAGAACTTGCAGACTTGCTGGGACTGCCATGGGTGGATGAAGGCTGTATGTAAGGTGTTGGGAAGGGTGATCACTGTCCGGGACAGGATTAGATTCCACAGGTTTGAGAACGGGGAGTGCTCTTGCAGAGATTATTGGTAATTATGGGAGGTATTTCTCTTATCTTTTTCAAGATTGCATCTTTGGCATCTCAAAGTTCTTCTTAATATAGAAGTTACAAATAAAATGTTTTTATTAAATTGAATAATATATTAATGCAAGGTGAAATTATTCTGTGCGGAGTCTGGACGGGACTGTGAGTGTACACAGTGTGTACACAAAGTGTACAATTCGGACGGGAACTTCTCATCCAGACTCCGCACAGAATAATTTCATTAATGTAAGAGTGTTGTCTACAAACAATAGAGGGGAGTATAAAGAAAGAGAAGATTTAGGCATATCCAACACCCAAATTTTTTTTCTTTTATATATTTAATGCTTAAACTTCAATCTTTATCTAATATAGCACTTTCTTTAATTTCATTAATGAAATCCTCTACCACAATGAAGTGAGGAAGTAATGATGGATCTCATCGGAGATGAGGAGGTCACAATGAGATCTCACGGGGAAGGTGGTAAAGGGACCTACAAGACCGACGGCATGCGAAGGTGGTGATTGACAATGTGATCAATAGTGAGCGAATGTGACAACATAATTGGTAGGATCTTGTTAGGAAGTTCTCGACATGATCAATGAGACCAGTGGCATGCCAAAATGGCGATGAGACTGATGGCACGTAAACCTACTCGTAGTGCATTGATTGAAAATAAATTTGAGAATCTTAGAGGGTTAGATTCGAGTGCTCACTATGTCTAAAAAATCTTCCTAAAAATATTCTTAATAATAAGCATATATTATAGTAATGATTATTATTATATATTTATATTAAAAGTGTTAGAGAAAATATTTATATGTTAATAAATAATTTTACTAATTACAACACTTTTGACCCTTAAAAAATTGGTGATCTGTTAGCGGGTAAATTATTTATTTTAAATTGCCCAAATTTACATGTAATTGGTAAACCCCTAACGCCAACTCATCTTGCCATTTCATTTTTTTAGCAATTGATAGCATTGGGCTTACATCCAAATATAGAGAAAATTTGATTCGTGCTAAATCAAGCTGGTTCAACTCAAATTAACTCGATATATTCTTTTTCAACTCAAAGGGGGCTCATCGGTTTATAAGAGAAATTTTCTCAAGCAAGTGATTGTGACCTAAGAACTTTTACTAGTCAAGCGTATATGACATTTGGTCGGTCCTAGTGACTAATATCTATGAATTCATCCTTTGTGACTACTTAGGTATGAAAACTTCTCAAAGCAAATTATTGATTGGTTACTCAACTATTCAGACATGTGATTTCTTAAGGCTCAGTAGACTACTTCTTCAAGTCAAACATTCCAATCAGGCTACATGATTATTACATTTTCTATTGTTTTTTATATAGTCATTTATGTAGCCAATTCTGTAACACTCAAGCCTTAACATAATTCTATAAGTAGGTGGTTCAAGAGGTAAGCTTAGCTTATGCCATTTTTTTAATCAATTGAACTTTATAGAAATTTCAGAGGGTCTCAATCTAGAATTATTCTCTCTTTTGATTTTTGTATTCTCTTTTTTTCTCTCTTACTCAATATTCTCGATATAGTAGGGTGATTTGCAGGTAGTTTTGAATTTAACATTATAAATGGTATAGCGAGCATCGACCATGCCATTAATTAAAAGAGTAGTATTACATAAAGCATAACAACATCAAAGTGGTGGAGAAGAATCTATCAATATGGAGACTAAGAGTTTGTGACTATCTAACATTTCCTAAATTTGAAGAGATAATGACTTGAATTATCTAGGTTGCGTGGGAGAGAACTCCAAGAAACACTCCTAGAGCAGAGATGCCTGAAGGATACTTTGATTCAATTGTGAGGAGGAGACTTTTTGGAGCTAGAGATTTGACCTCTACTCTAGTTGCAAATGAGACATATTATCCTGACGGTTTGGAGTCGACTTCAGTGAATCTATGTACGGTTGCACTTGTTATGACCCGACCTGATAAATGCAACTTACTAAATTTATGTGATTAAACACTTTTGCATTGTCTGAGAATGTTATGTATACATATGAGTGTCTAAATATGGTCTAAAGTGGGTCCCAAGGGTTTGTGTTCATGTTTGAGTAATATTAAAATTTCCTCTTAGGGCGCCACAACACTAGGTTTAGTGGCACTGTAGCTGTGTGCTATCTATTTTTAGCCAAATAAATCGGGTGTTGCAGAATTGGTGGTGGTGGCCCAGTGTTGTCCTCCTATAAGGGGAGCGCTATCCTAGGTTCCGGCATGCAGTTGCAGGCTTAAATTTTATATTTATAATATACTTTCTACCACTTCAAACCTATTTCTCTCATTTGGGCAATCCCTTAGAGAAAAAGAGAGGGGGTTTTAGTAAGAGAAAGATAAGGTTTGGTCCACTTTATGTTCTAGCCCCAAGTCTGAAAGTTATTCGAATTGAGGTATGTTATACTCTACCGATTTCAATTTTTAAAAATACGGGAATTTTGAGAATTTTCTAATTTAAATTATAATTTTGTTAGGGAAATATTGCGATCACTTTGTACTCATAAAACTTTTCCCATGTAACTTTATATATATTGTAGATATGACAATTCTTGACATTTAGATTTTTTTTTAGTATTCATTAGGTAGTTTGAATGTATGATATGTTATTTAATTATATAATAATTTTGATCCAAAAAAGTAGTATGATTAAAGCTTTAAAATAATGTTTTGAATAATATCCCATAATTTGGTGAATTTATGAAATATTTTATTCCTACTAAGTTGTTGAAATGTAGTCTACTGATTTATTATACTGTGAATTTTTCAAGTTGGTTTATTTATGTTTCATACACTGAATTGAAATGATATATGTGTATATATGCTTGAATTACCTGATTATTAGGAGATTTATATGTGGGGGAAGTTCTATTCTTGAAGTTTTGTTAAGGTGCTAAATGCATAAGGGAGTCATAAGGGTCTAAAATTTTGAATATTTGATGTGTTGGGCATTTGGAGTCATAAGTGCTTTGTTTTAATATGTCAGCTTGGGAGTCATAAGGATCTATTTTTAATATGAGGTGTAAGAACCTGAAGGAAATATATTATTTGCTATTCATGTATTGAATTACTTTTATTGAATTACTTTTACATTCAATTAAATGATAAATAAGTAAATTGTTTGAAAATTTAGATTGTTGTGGCCTATTGAGCTGTGTTGGCTCACATATATTTTGCCTTCTGTTTTAGGTCAGGGGAAAGTGAAAGAGTCAGTTGAGTAGCTGAGCGTCCAGGATCTAATCTTTCTGAGTCTTTATAGGTACTTTCCTGATTTTGTACAAGAGCAATCTTGTCTATTTTATGAGTTTTTTTTTTTTATGGTAAATAGCCATATATTGTAGTGTAAACATTGTATATACATTTTGATGAAATGAAATGAAATTTGTGGATGAGTTATTTATTTATTTTACTGAAGTTAATTAGAAGCTTAGTTGTATGTTTCAAATTTTAGTTGGAAGAATTCTGAAATTTTCCCAAAACTTAAATCTAAGGTTTTGCCTGTCCCAATTCAACACGGTATGATATGTCTATCTGTGGGTCATATCACATTGGATTGTGACAGTCTCTTTTTGTTATCAAAATAATGGTGTTGGAGAAGTTGATTATAAAACATAGTCATATAAATTATATTTTTTTTTCCTGGCTAATTTAAATTGAATTTTGATGTATATTATTTTTAGATTTGCTTATGCTGGACTAATTTTATCTTGATGATCTTATAGAAGCTTTTAAAGATTAAACAAGAGATAAAAGGTACAATTCTTCCTATTTAGGTTTTAGGGCATCACAAAGTGGTATCATAGCGAAGGATTTGAGAAGAATTGAATTATAATCAAAGCCATATAATTGATTATGAGTGGGGTAGAAGAGGTTAGTATGGATTATTTTTCATTGCATTGATTGATTAATTGGATATATGTATTGAGTTTGTTATTTGTTATATTATGAAAGAGAATTATATCAGTGGATAAATGAACCCTACTGATCAGGATATATAGAATGGATTGAGTACAACAACTGTCTCAATTAGTTTTAACAGCTTGATGTAGCTTGCTAGTATACTTGCTCTGTTTAAAATTGCGCAATTAGAGGCGCGCCTCTGTACAATTCCTCCCAAAAACGCCTCGGAACCTACGCAATTCCACCTCTGTAAGAGGCGTACGCCTCACTGGGACTGAGGCGCGCCTCAGAGGCGCAATTGCGCAATTCCTGTCTATTCAAAATGCAATTTTTGTGAGAAAGTGGTGAAGGGCGGAGTAACCCGCATGAAAGAGCACTTATCATGCTCTCACAAGAACGTAGCACCGTGTGCAAAAGTGCCGGACAATGTGAAGGAAGAAATAAGTGCTTACATGAAGAAAACTACCACTGCTAAACACTTACAATAGGAGCAATTTGATGAAAGGGTCGAGCATGGTGCTTATTTTGGGAGCGAGAGTGGAAAGGGCTCTTCCTCCACTATATATAGTAGAGGTGCACAGGGTCATATGGATCAGTATATGACTACTCCATGAGTGGATAGAGGAGAAGAAGAGATGATGCCTGAAGCTGGTACTAGAGAGTGTCGGCGACAGGTTTGCATGGACATTGGGAGGTTTTTTTTTTAGAATACAATACCATTTAATGTTGCTACATCGCCTGCCTACTTCAGTATATTGCGGTTTGTAGGATTGTATGGAAGAGAGTTGAAGGCACCTTCCATGTATGAGTTGCGAACATGGATTTTAAAAGAGGAGCTGCAGAACACAGAGCGGAGCATTCAAGAGATTAAAAGGACATGGATTAAGACTGATGTGACTATTATGTCAGATGGATGGTCTGACATGAAGAGCAGGAGCTTGATTAACATCCTTGTCAACAATTCCTACGGCACGGTGTTCTTACGATCAGTTGATGCTTCAGAGGAGGTGAAAAATGCTACATTCATTTTCAATTTACTTGATGGAGTTATTGAGGAGATTGGGGAGCAATTGGTTGTCCAGGTAGTAACTGATAATGCCAGTGCATACAAAGCAGCTGGTCAGATGTTGATGGAGAAGAAGACACACCTATATTGGACACCCTGCGCAGCACATTGTATCGATCTCATTTTGGAGGATCTTGGTGACTTACCTTAGCGAACATCCAAATACAGAGAAAATTTGATTCAAGATTCAAGCCAAATTAACTCGATGTATTCTTTCGCAACTCAAAGGAGACTCGTTGGTTTATAAAAGAAATTTTCTCAAGCAGGTGACTGTGAACTAAGAACTTTTAGTAGTCAAGCGTGTATGATATTCAGTATGTCCTAGTGACTAAGGCTTCGTTTGGGACGGCTTTTTTATTGTTTTCTAAAACGGAGTTTTAGTACAATTTTTTTTATTTTTGTACTAAAACTCCGTTTTAGAAAGCAATAAAAAAGCCGTCCCAAACAAAGCCTAATATTTATGAATTCATCCTACTGGAGGTATGAAAACCTCTCAAAGCAAATTGTTAATTGGCTACTTCAACTATTTAGACATGCGATTTCTTAAGGCTCTGTAGACTACTTCAAGTCAAACATTTCAATCAGGCTACATGATTATTATATTTTCTATTATTTTTTATATAGTCTTTGATGTAGTCAATTCTATAACACTCAAGCCCCAACATAATTCTATAAGTAGGTGGTTAAGGGATAAGCTTAGTTCATGCAATTTTTTTAATCAATTGAATTTTATAGAAATTTCATAAGGTCTCCATAAAATTATTCTCTTTTGACTTTTGTATTCTCTCTTTTTTTTTTTTTTCTTACTCCATATTTTCGTTATAGCAGGGTGATTTGCAGATAGTTTTGAATTTAACATTATAAATGGTATAGTGAGCGAGCATGCCATTAATTAAAAGAGGAGTATTGCATAAAGCATAACAACATCAAAGTGGTGGATAAGAATCTATCAATATGGAGACTAAGAGTTTGTGACTATCTGACATTTCCTAAATTTGAGGAGATAATGACTTGAATTATCTATGTTGCGTGGGAGAGAACTCCAAGAAATTCTCCTAGAGCAGAGACGCCCAAAGGATACTTTAATTCAATTGTGAGGAGGAGACTTTTTGGATCTAGAGCCTTGATCTCTACTCTAGTTGCAAATGAGACATATTATCCTGATGGTTTGGAGTCGACTTCAACTCTTCATTACGAGGAAAGGAGGAATGAGGAGGTCGCCACTATTCAGTGCCTTCCCAAGGGAGATTGATGAGGTCAAGCCTCTAGCAAAATATAAAATCTCTCACCTTGATTCGTTTAAGGGAAAGATAATTCTGGTGGCCATCTTGCTTACTTTGAGTTGGATGCCTCTCTTCTTTATATCATCAATGCATTGAAGTGTTGGATATCTTCACAATCTTCAAGGAATCACCTCTAAGGTGATTCTCGCTTCTGTCACTCAATGTCATTCTCTTCTTTAGCTGAGTTCAAGAGGTTGTTCTTGACTAGGGCTGCAAACGAACCGAGCCGAGTCAAGTATGTGAGTGTTCATGTTTGTGTTCATTTAATATTAGCTTGTTCAAGTTTGGTTCATGTTTGTTCGAGCTTTATTGTTTGTGTTCATGTTTGGTTCATTTAAATTTATGAGTGTTCGTGTTTGGTTCATGTTCATTCGTTTAGTGCTTATCGAGCTTGTTCGCGAACATATTTAACAAAGTTTTTTTAACTATCAAACAAACACGTTCATGAACATATCTATGAACAAACATATTTATAATAAAAGCAATTGTCTATGTAACAAAGGCAATGATTATTTATATTTATTAATTTTATAGTCAAATATTAATTATTTTTATCGAGCTTATTCAAAAGTTCAAAATCGAACACGAATCGAGCTTAATGTCGAGCTTGTTCACGAACTTCAAATGATGTTGTTCGCGAACATAAATGAGCTGAACGCATTAGTGTTCAAGTTTGTTTATTTTAGAATCGATTATTTAAAATATTGTTTAAGTTTGTTTGTTTAGTTACTTAAACGATCACAAACGAGCTTTAATCGAACCAAACAATGAGTAGCTCGTCGAACGTTTGGTTCGCTTGCAGCCCTATTCTTGACACAACCCACTAGCTCGCAAAGGTCGCTAAAGAACTTGCAAGCATTACTATGGATGAGGCAAGAATGCAATGATTTGTTGATGATTTTTATTGCTGAATTTCTAAAGGAGATACTTAACATGAAAGATTTAGAGCTAGTTGTGGCTCAAGTTGTTTGCCAAGGTTTATGTGAAGGACCTACCAGTTATATACTTGACTTGTAATAGCTGGGTACTTTGACTGAATTGCTTGAATTCATTAATAATTATGTAAGTATCGAGGAGTATAATATGAAGAACAATACCTCTATTGCGGGTTAGAGTGTGACACTTACTAAATCTATGTACAGTTGCACTTGTTATGACCCGACCTGATAAAGTCAACTCACTAAATTTATGTGACTAAACATTTTTGCATTGTCTGAGAATGTTATGTATGCATATGAGTGTCTAATCAAGTCTAAAGTGGGTCCAATGGTTTGTGTTCATGTTTGAGTAATATTAAAATTTTCTCTTAGGGCGCCACAACATTAGGTTTAGCGGCACTGCACCTTTGTGCTATCTTTTTTTAGCCAAAATAAATCTGGTGCTGCAGCATTAGAGGTGGCTCCCCAGTGTTGTGCTCCTATAAGGGGAGCATTGCGGGCATAGATTCGGGCATGCAGCTGCAGGCTTAAATTTTATATTTATAATATACTTTTCCGCCATTTCAAAACCCATTTCTTTCATTTGAACAATCACCTAAAGAGAAAGAAAGGGGGGTTTTAGTGAGAGAAAGATAGGGTTTGATCCACTTTATGTTGTAGCCCCAAGTTTAAAAGTTATTTCGATTGAGGTAGGTTACACTCTACCAATCTCAATTTTTAAAAATACAGGAATTTTCTAATTTAAATTATAATTTTATTAGGGAAAAATTGCGATAACTTTGTACCCATAAAACTTTCACCGTGAAACTTTATGTATATTATAGATATGACAATTCTTGACATTTAGGTTTTTTTTTTTAAGTTTTCATCAGTAGTTTGAAATGTATGCTATTTTATTTAATTATATAATTATTTTGATCCAAAAAAAAATATTTTAGTATAATTAAAGCTTTAAAACAATGTTTTGAATAACATCCCATAATTTGGTGAATTTATGAAATATTTTATTCCTACTCAGTTGTTGAAATGTAGTCTAATGATTTAACACACTGTGATTTTTGCAAGTTGGTTTATTTTTGTTTCATGCACTGAATTGAATTGATATATGTGTATATATGCTTAAATTGTCTGATTATTAGGAGATTTGATATGTGGGGGAAGTTTTATTCTAAAAGTTTTGTTCTAGTGCTAAATATATAAGGGAGTCATAAGGGTTTAAATTTTTGAATATTTAAATATGTGCTGAGCATTGGAAGTTATAAGTGCATGTTTTTAAATATGCAAGCATGGGAGTTATAAGGGTCTATTCCTAATATAAGGTATAAGGGTCTTAAGGAAATATATTATTTATTATTCTAATATAAGAAGTGCTTGTTTATTTACTCTTAGTCCATAGCCTGCTTTATTTTGGATATATTTAATTAATATCATGCTTAGTACAATATATTTTTATTGAACTAAAAAAATATATATATTTTTATTGAACTACTTTACATTCAATTAAATGTTAAATAAGTAAATTGTTTGAAAATTTAGATCGATTGGTGTGACATGTTGAGCTGTATTGGCTCATATATATTCTGTCTTCTATTTTAGGTCAGGGGAAAGCGAATGAGCTAGTTGAGTAGCTAAGCGTCCTAGATCAGATCTATCTGAATCTATATAGGTACTTTCCTGATTTTGTACATTCATGATTAGTTTATTTTATTAGTTTCTTTTATAGTAAATAGTCATGTATTTTAGTGTAAACGTTGTATATACATTTTAATGAAATGAAAGAAAATTTGTGGATGAGTTATTTATTTATTTTACTGAAGTTAATTATAAGCTTGGACATATGTTTCAAATTTTAGTTGGAAGAACTCTTAAATTTTCTCAAAACTTAAATCTTAGGTTTGGCCTATCCCAATTCAACATGGTATGATATGTTTGTTTGTGGGTCATATCGGGTTCGATTGTGACAGTTCTTTTTGGTATCAAAACAATGGTTTTGGGGAAACTAATTGTAAAATAGTCTCATATAAATTATATTTTTTTCATGGCTAATTTAAATCGAATTTTGATGTATATAATTTCTAGATTTGCTTATGCTGGACTAATTTTATATTGATGATCTTATACAAGTTCTTAAAGATTATACAAGAGATAAAAGATACAATTCTTCCTTTTTAGGTCAAGGGGCATCACAAAGTGGTATCAAAATGAAGGATATTAAAAGAATTGAATTATAATCAAAGCTATAGAATTGATTATGAGGGGGTAGAAGAGGTTATTATAGATATTTTTCCTTGCATTTGATTGATTAAATGGCTATATGTATTGAGTTTGTTGTTTACTAGATTAAGAAAGAGAATTATATCAGTGGATAAATAGATCTTACTGATCAGAATATATAAAATGGATTGAGTTATTGTCTCAATTAGTTTTAACAGCTTGATGCATCTTACTAGTATACTTGCATAGGTAATTAGTGATACACAAAATAAGCAGACTGGACATAAGGAAATGGAAGAAGATAGATATTTATAGATGTTTAGTAAATTGAACCCGCCATTATTTAAGGGAGATGTAGAACCCGAAGCGATAGAAGAATGGTTATTGAGGATAGATAAAATATTTGAAAGCATGCAGTACCCATGTAATAGAAAAGCATCACTAATAGTATTTTTGTTTCAAGGTGAATAAAAAAGGTGGTGGTTAGGAAAACCCTGAGAAAAATTTTAGGAAAAAATGAATGCAAAGATTACCTAGGCAAAATTTGTTACTGTTTTCATAAATTTATTTATACCTTCGTCAACTCGATAATAAATGTTGGAGGCTTTTATGAGATTAGAGTAGAGAGAAAAGACAGTGATGTAGTATAAAGCTGATTTTATTACACTGAAAATATACACTCCACAGTTGATTAGTACAACGAAATAAAAGTGTTACAAGTTTTTTAAAAGATTGAAGGATAAATTAAGACACTCCCTAGTACCATTAAAAATTTAGGAGTTTTTATAGCTTGTTGAGAGAGAAAGATTAGAGGATAATGATTTAGCTTTACCATTATTTAGACACGATATGAGTAGAAAGAGATTAAGGTATGATATGCCCTGGAAAGATACCAGGGAAAATAAAAGTAAATATTTAGACAATAGGAAAGGATCTAAGACGATTGTGGGAAGTGTATCGAAGTGTGCCCGATGTGGCAAGAGGCATAATAGATAGTGTTTTCTGATAATCAGATAAAATTTCATTATGTTGTTAAAGAGGACATCATATGGATCATTGTCTACAATAATGATAGAGAATAGGATCAAAATTTAGAGTGGAGCAGCCTAAGCAAGGCTAAAAAAAGAGGATTGTGGGATCTAGGGGATACAGTGATGAATCCATGAATAATACTTATGAAAGACAAGCTAGTAAAAGTTAGAGAAAGCCCACACATTTTATTACACCTGTACTAGCATCTGTATGAGCTAGAGTTTACAACTTAATTCAGCGGGATGGTAGGAATGTACATAAAGGGTCCATTGGTATAACTCTCAATCTTATACATTTAGTTGAGTAATTAGTATTGTATAACATGTTGAATGATATGCATAAGTGTATGTGATTGATTGAACTCATAATTAATTGAATGATATGTTAGTGATAAGTAGTTATTTAGATTTTTCGATTATAGAATTAATATCGTGTTGATTTATTTTGAATCAAATTGATTTATTTAATGAGTTGACTTAGTTTTGAACTAGTTTGGTTTTGTTTTATATTGAATTCTTTTAGTATTAATTTATTTGTATTAATCGTGGAAATGTCGAGTGCAACATTTTTTTGAGATGGATAGAATATTGTAACAACCTAAAAATTTTGAAAATAATTTTAAGATTAAAATTTAGAAAATTTGAAAATTTTGAACCGTGGCACTACGGCATGTGATTTCAAACATATTTGATTTGGGGGGAGTAACATTAGGGCACTGGAATTTGACGTGGTGGCTCTGATACTCTTTGTTGTACATTAATCTGGAATGAGCATATAGTGTTACGACGCCGAGTTGGAGCTCCGTTATGCTAGGCATAGAATTTTTTTTTTAATATAATTTCTCGACTCAGCCATCACCTCCTCCCTCATTATCATTGTGCTTGGCGAGCTAGGAATGGAAGGTGGAGAGGAAGAGGGAAGGAGGAGAGAGAGAAGAAGGAGAAAGGGATTTTGGATCATTTTTGTTTGTCGGTTTTATTTGGAGATTTCTTCTATTCATGGTAGGTAACTCAAATTCCACTTTAATTTTCAATGATTTTGAGTTTGATAAATTTAACATTTTCTAAATCAATAAAAAGAAAATTTTCTCTTAATTTACAATATTTTT